AGCGTGGTGGTGATAACGTGAATCCGACAAAGCAAAGGGAGACTGAAATGAACACTTCTGGCCTAGTAGCTGTCATCAGCCAGTCATATCTAACCCTAGTGGCGGCAACCCCGAAAGCTAGGGCATAGCTTCAAACCCCAGGGGTTTTCACCCCCTAGGGTTGGATATGGCCGGCCGATGACGACTAATTAGCCAGAAATGACAATTCTGCTCAATGCTATTGCCCTAAAACGTAGCTTACCACACCTAGGACAACAAAAACTGTGTGCCTACCGTTTAACTGAAAACTGTCCACGCTGCTGCGTATATCTCCACCGTTTCTGTTTTAGGTTTTGTAGCCTCCCGAAAAGAAAGAGCGTCTGTACTAGCTCTCTAAGCAAACTGTTGCATTGCGAACTTCCTTACCGATACACTTGAAGGATGACTTGCACGAGACTTGAACGTTGCCAAACGAATTTACATTACGACAGTCAAGTGTGAATCCTACAAAAGATTATAGAGTTATCCCTTCGAGTTCCGCTTATTCTAGTCTGCACTTCGTTGAGTATTTTACACTTAAGTAATCTAATTTTCAAAATTCTGGTAGTTAATTCGAAGGTACCTCAAATGGTTACGCCATGGGTAAGCCTTGTGATCTGTGATCAAGATCGTTGGAGGTGACAGTCACAACCGTGGACACTAGTGGAAATCGCAATGGCTGGGGTGGCTCCAGAACCAAACGCAACTAGTGCCATATGAGTACTTGCAGGGGAATAGAAAGCTGGACGTTTCTTAGCCTAATAGCTAATACTCTTCGCCCAATCTTCTATGGGAGCTCTCCTTTCTACACATATCAGCAGAAAGTACTCAAAGGAAACTAGCAGCCCACTTTCGATGTGTCGAGCCCTTTGTTTAGGGCCGTTGGTATTGATTTCTGGGAGAATTTGAAAGATTGAGAGTAATCGCTAGGCAATAAAACGCAGTTAGGAGTATGACACAGATGCCAGGTCAATACATATATAGAACAGCTGACAGTACTCGCATTCAGCGCTCTAGGTAGAAGGTGATGTGATAATGGTTTGTCGGCCCGTAGCTGAGTCGTTAATGGACGGGATTCCAGCCCCGTTGTCGATTCTTGGCATGACGATTACTCGGCCGTTTGGTTCGATGCCACCATGACTGCTGGTCACAGGTAGCAAATATGAACGTGGAAGGTTATGACGTGTGTTAACTGAATGCGGGCCAGAACTCAATCACTAAAGCAGCTCGTTTTTGATGCAGATGAAAGGCACCCCTATGCCTTTATCGATTTCGTGATTCTTAGCTCAGGCAGTCCTTCGACAGTTTGAATATCTGGTTTTCCGACGCCTCAGGCCAAATATTTGGGCTCGCTTTTTGCAATGATACCTTCTTTGTCATCGTACTGGAAAACAACCTAAAGAGTAAAACAGCATGTTAACATTGCATTTTAAGTAGAATACATTTGTTAAGGTGTCTTATAATACTTGTGTTGCCATTATTATTAGTCTTAAAGCAGCGCCTGCGAAGCCATTCAAAACAGAACGGTAAGAATTGCATTTCATAAGCAAAGATTGCCATCAAGGACTTCTTGCTCTTGGTATTTAGTTTGCTTAACCTTTAGGCTCCACTATTCATTGATGCTCAGAGATGAGATAAATTCCCGGTTGGCACTGATTAACAGCTGTGTCTACTTCAACTAGACAGCAAGACGAAAGTACTTCGTTTGCACGACGCCAGTTCAGATATTTCATCCTGAAAACTGCGTTTCAAAGTGCATTTACTCATTCAAAGTTTCTGCAGTTTTCCGTGAAACATCAAAGGGAAGGGGACGCGTATCCAACGAAGTAGAAAGTGCATTTCCGTATGCGACCTATAGAAAAAAGGCTTAGGTAAATTTTATAGGATGTTTGTCGAACAGCCTTTTGAGCCTTTTGTTGGATCAAATTGGTCTGCACCAGTGCTACGCAAAACCAAATCAGTGCACTAAGGAAAATAGTAGATCTTGCCAAATTAGAGATTTACACGAGGTTTATGTGTAGCAAGCAAAACGTGATACGCTAGAAACAAAGCGGTACTGGGATGTAGTTAAGGAGTTCAGGTACGCTGAGCCGCGTTTTCCTGCTAGTTTAATATTTTCTTAAATGTCAGCAGACGACCCTAGTACAGTAAGCGGCCCACCACCACAGACAGTATACCGACCACAACCGACAGGGCAAGGAGTTCTCCTACGCAAACGTATGCCCAAGTACCAGTGTGTACATGGTCGCCTGTGGTAGATGATATCATCTCCCGCACACCGACTGACTGACTTTCGTGGATAAGGCCTTAATACGGATTTCCGAGTTGGGCCAAATAGACAGCGTCACAGCTCGCACATGCGATTTTGTAGACAATGCCTTTTTTAATACTATAGGTATTTTGGTCCCGAGACCTTCGACCCATGTTAATTAAATTTCTGACAGGTGGTTGCCTGTTTGTGACCCCTACCACCCATACAAAATTTGTTTATTTCGGGAAGCTTATCGGATCGGTGTACGCCTATTCGTGCGTTAATATTTATCTATATATATCGGGGACATTATTTTGAAAATTATTAAGTGCATGAATAGGATTTAATTGACCGGAACCTGCATCTTTAGGTTCAAACGCGGAATTTCTATGGACATCGAATCGGAGAAAATTAACTTCTGTGGTATAACCACACAATGCTCATCCTACAAATAAGTAGTGCTACAAGTAGTATAATTTTCATATGGAAAAAACATTATTCTGTACTTCCGAGATAGGTATTAGCTAAAAACCCAGTCAAGTGTTTTGCCGATGTTTCTGCTGTTGCATGATACAGCAACGGCTCCTTAGTGGGTCCCCTAGCGTTATCCATGCGGTTGATGGTATATGACCTCCCGATTATTATCCTGAGGTCCGTCTATGTGTCTCCGGTTGGGGCTGGTATTCGCAAGTCTCCAGTACCAACATCGACCTTAGCTGTCGACCCAAACTGACACACTTACTTGGGCTCACACGTCCGTCTGGTTTCACATTTGCAGGATTAGTAGATGAGCTGGTTGAGGTGATTACTGTCATTTCGTTGAGTCCGGGTTGGGATGCAGTTATGTGTATGTCCGTCATGGACTGGCGGTTTCACGGCTAACATAAGTTCCTGTTTGCTCCTTTGTTCACCAAGTGGCATTCGGAGGGGTTAGAAGAAGCGCCACACAAGTACACATCACCGCCATCGATTCTTGGCATGATGATTACTCGAACGTTTGGTTCGCTGCTACCATGACCGCTGGTCACCGCTCGCCACAGGTAGCAAAAAAGGAGGCCAGAAACCATGACACTTGTTACTTGAATGCAGGCCGGAGAACCATCATTTCAGCAAGCTCCTATACGAGGCGGGTGTAAGGCCCATTCCCCAATGAGTTTGTCAATTTCGTGATTAATAGTTGAGGCAGTCCTTCAAAGGTTCAAATAGTTGGTCTGCAAGCCGAAATTCTAGATTCGCTTCTTCAATGATACATTTGCCGTCATCGTCCTGGAATCCAACGCTTATCTCAATATCATCTTCCAGAGCAAAGAAGTCACAGCTTTC